CTCTGAAATTGGGAGGATATCCCACTAATTGGTAGCAATTTTCCCTCAGGTGTCCTTTTCTTTTGCAATGTGTACACTCAAGATTGCTCTCCCCTCGTTCGCGGCCTCTTCCACGACCACGTCCCCTGGCGGCCATTGCAATTCCTTCTCCTAGGGATGGCTTGTCATTGCTGACTATCGATCTCTGAGTCTCATCCTGGATTATCATGGCGTAAGCTTCGTTTACTCCTGGCAGAGGGTTCATCAGGAGGATCTGGCTTCTTGCTTGATGATACGAATCACTGAGGCCCATCAAGAACTGAAGAAGATTCTGTTCTTGAACGATTTGAGCATAGGTTCTTGAGGTCTTGCATGTGCAAGAGGGCAGAGTGACTAGCGCCGACTGTTCCTCCCAGAGTTCTTTTAACTTTGAGAAATATGCGGCGACTGAGAGGGATCCTTGTCTCAGGGAGGTGATTTCTCGGTGAAGGGCGAAAATTCAAGCTCCATTCTTTTTATCAAACCTCTCCTTGAGATCAACCCATACGTGGTGTGCGTTCTGGAAAAATATAACCCCATTCGCAAGTTCCTTTGAAAGCGAGTTGAGGATCCAGGACAAGACCACGGCATTGCACCGCTCCCACTGGTCGTGCAGTGCCTTGTCGTGTTTTCCTTTCTTGCAGGCTCCAGTGATGAATCCGAGTTTATTCTTCTCCAACAGAGTGATCTTCATTGCTCGGCTCCAAACTGTGTAATTCTCTGTACCGATGAGAACGTGGGAGATGATAGAGGCCCCTTGCGTGTCCGATGGATGGAGGTACAGGGGATGAGTGAATGGTAGGTTCTCTGCCGCAGTCTTCTCGTCCGCCATGGAAGACTCTGTTCGTTGAGTTGAGAAAGATTGAATCTCGGTTCAGGGAAGGAAATGGGCTTGCTATCCGAAGAGAGGGAAAAACCCTCGGCTCTGGTACCATGTTGAGTATTGGGCCCAGTACCAACATAGCAACGCACAAAGAAAACTGAATGGAAATTTTGTATTATTGAACTAGAGTAACGTACAACTCATGGACCCCTTTGGATGAGACTTAAGGCCCGACTCCTATTTATAATAAGCATAAGAAAAATAAAACCAAGAAGGTTAAAGAACCTAAGTGTCGTATTGAGTAATACGACATATTACTAAGTACAATTGCTCCTATTTTAACAAATTTGACCCATCAAGCCAATAAACTAGTAATTAAACCAATTTTTGACCAATCTCTTCCCTATGACCCAATCTTTCCTCCTGTTTTCTAAATTATTTTCCTCTTTACTTCACACGTGTTCACTTGCCTCCCTCCTCTCCTCACACATCATGTGCTCAAGTCAGTCTTGTCCTTTCATTTATGTTTCCTTCACATGCATCACATTAAGCTTGGAGGTAGATTTCTTTTACACTTCCCTCTTCTCTCTTTTTTGAGAGCATCCATGGCTTCTCCGCGCCTATCTAGTGAGTTGGTAGTGAACAGTGGTAGGAAGATCTTGCCATCACGGACTAAAAAAACGATGGCGAGGAGACAGCCACAACAACAACAAGATTCAAACTTAAGAGCGAAAGAATTCGGCGACGGTTTGTGTGTTTTTTTTTTTAATTTTTTGAAAGTATGGGGAGCTTTGAAACAACTCGATAACTCGCTTAGACTGAGGGGTTGCGTGAGTTAATTCCGGTTTATTCCGAGTTTAGTTGGGTCATGTTAGTTTATTTTGTCATCGATTTTGTCAATTACCCGATTGGACAGGTGATTGGTTTATTCTGCCTGAATCGGCTGGTCCAGTCCGAGTTTTCATTCCTTGATTTTTCAATTTCATCAGAAGTTTTTCATTTAAAATATATGTCTAAAATTCACCAAAAAAAAGTATACCTAAAAATAGCCAATTTATTTTTAATTGAAAAACATTAATATTGTGACTTTTGAGATTACCAGAGTGTTTTGATTAATCTTTTAAAAGTAATTTTATAAGATATGAAATAAATATGTAAGAAAAATTTTATTTCGATTTGTGTTAAATTATTTTTTTTTTCAAATGCTTTAATAGGATTACCAAAATACCCTATGGCTAACACCATATTAGGACTTCTTATTCATATAAAAACTTACATGACACTATGTTATGTAGTAATTATAAACGTTACGTGAAAGATGAAAAAATTCATACTCCTTATAATTTAAGACCCATATCCTAGTTTTTTTCCTAAAAAAAGAATTCATGCCATTTACGTGTTTAATTCCTCAATTCGTTTTACGTTTCCAGTAAAAAAATCTCTTATGATTAAATATTTATTAACAAAAAAATTGAAAATTGAAATAAAAAGAATCTTTTTTTTCAAATAAATACTTTTACCACTTTTTCTACTAATGAATTTAATTTTGAATATAAAATCTCATTTCATTTTATTTTCTAAATTTAAAATTTTTTTAAAATTTTTTTCCTACTAATGATATATATTAAGAGAATTTTCTATCAATTAAGTACTATCCTATATAAATGACTAATAAATGCATCAGTAATTAAGAGAAAAAATATGTGTGTATATTTGTTTTTGGGTTAATATAGTTTTGGTCTTTCGAGTTTGTTTTTATTTTGTTTTTGGTCCATCAAATTTCAAATTATAAGTTTTGGTCCCTTAAAGGGTGAAATGGTTTAACTTGGAGGACAAATATCTATGTATTAAAATTTGAGAGACCAAAATCAAAATGAAAACAAACCTGAGAGATTAAAAATTATATTAATTATTTATTTTATAAAAAATTAACTTAATTAATTTTTTAAAATTTTTATATTTGAAATCGGGAGTCTGTCTTCTAGGGAGAAACTTTTTCTAAAGCTGTTCAATCATACGACTAGCAGCAATGCAAAGCGGCAACACCATCGATCCGCGAGCTTCCCAGAAACTGGACTAAGAGCCTCTAGAAACAAGAGATTAATATGTGCATGAGGTATTTGGTGATCTATGAATCTGAAGAGCTTGTTTCAAGAGAAAGTAAGTTTGCAAGTGTTGAAGCTGCCATTTTTGAGACCTTAGTTTGTGAGAGCTATTTCTTTCGATTCTCTCCATATCGATCCACGTTTATTTCTTCTCTTTTACTTGCTTTATCTCGCGGATCCCTCGCTCCGTCAACTGTTTTGCAAGCTTTTTTCCTGGAATTTTCACAGAAAAATTCTGCATAAGATTGGCTGTTTTCTTCTCCTTGTGCTAGCTGTTGATCATATTTAATCTCCTCCTTAGCTGCTTTAGTGTCGTAGATCTTGTATAACTTAAACGTTCGAAATTTTTTATACTTTAATTTCTGAAACAAAAAGTGCCAAAACCTCCTAACATATGGGTGGGCTGGATCCATTGACTAAAGTCTTCACTTATTTTATTCTTTTTTTTTTGAATGAAGTGAACGGCTGATTTGTTTATTATAATTTATAGTATAAAAGCAAAGTGCTGGTAATCACTCCCCAATTCTTTGTTATGCGTAAAAAAGGCATCGACATAAACCAACAAGGCTTATCCTCTTCTTTTCACAACTCACTTGCTTGATCCCACCGATCTCCAGTTTTACTAGTATTTCCCCTAGTATTTATGTTGATCCTAGAAAACTTTATCATATTGAATTATTAATTATTCGTTAAATTTGTTTGAAGAACGGAGGAAGTCGGCAAACCGCGAAGCTGACATTTTTGAGAGCTTGTGAGCAAAGCTGACATCCACCAGGTTAATACTATCCATGAATTCTTTTCTTTTTCTCTTCCACTTGCTTCATCCCATTAAAATATACTGTTTTTGTAAGCATTGTCCTGAAGTTTTCAGGGTTTTCTTCTCACAGGACAAATTTTGCCAAAAAAAAATGTTAATTCCTTCTTTCTTCTAGTGTTGAATCCCGTCCCTCACTGCTTTACTGGCGTAGATATAATGAACTTTTGCTTGCACTTTCTATCGCCTTAGTTTCAGGTTGCTGAAGGTTGACGCTAGAAATTGCTATCCACAGCCACTGCTTCAATGTTCAGAAAACCTTTGTTGATCCTATTGGGAGTATCAATTTCCAACGCTATTAGATTCATCTCTCATTTGCATAATGGTAACCAACCTATTGCTGTTGATGATAGGTAGCTAGCTTCTTAAATAGCCTCACACTCCTTTTTTTCTTGTTTGATTTGCTTCCACATATAACCCAATATCTGTTCACAGCTTGCTTCTTTCTGTAGTTCTAAAGATGATGTTATTTTAACTCAAACGGTTTCCCCTCCCAGTGCCAAATATGATGTGTTCCTTACCTTTAGAGGAGAAGACGCTCGCCACACTTTTGTAGGTTATCTTCACAAAGGACTTCGAAATGCAGGCATTCACACTTTTATGGATCACAAACTCTGCAAAGGAGAATCGATCTCACCGGTTCTTCTAAGAACAATAGAGGAATCAGAAATATCTGTGATTATCTTCTCTGAGGATTATGCTTCTTCAACTTGGTGTTTGGACGAGCTTGTTCACATATTAGAATGCAAGCGTAAACTTGGAAGGGTTGTTATACCTATTTTCTATAATGTAGATCCTTCAAACATACGCAAACAAAATGGGAATTTTGGAAAAGGATTTGGTGTATTGAAGCAAAGATTTAAAGATGACCATGAAAATTGCAAAAGTGGAGAAATGCTTTAATCTAATCTACAAGTCTCTCTGGATGGGATTCCAATGTTATCAGGTAGCCTCAGAATTCTCCCTTTGTTGTTGTTTTTGGGGACTTATTCAATTAATCTCTAAGATTCTAACAATTATTATGGTTGTTTTATTCTTTTTATTTTCTCCCTATTAAATCTGCCTTTTCTTTTGATTGACAATTGTGCTAGACCTGAATTCAAACTTGTTGAAGAGATTGTCAAGGACATTTTGAGCAAGTTGAACTGTGAGTCATCATCTCATCTTGAAGGACTTGTTGGCATTGCTTGTCATATTGAAAACATTGAAAAGCTTCTCACATTGTGGGAGAATATGGGGTATGGGTGGTGCTGGTAAGACCATGCTTGCTAAAGCTATATTTCAAGAGTTGAAAGCTCAATTTGACACTTTCTCCTTTATTGAAAGTGTTAAAGAGCAAGTAGCAAGAATTAGTTTGGATGAACTACAAAAAAATTGCCTCAAAGAATTATTAAAAGATGATGACACTAGCATCTATGACATAAAATCCACTTTTGTGTAAAGCAGGCTTCAACGCAAAAAGATTCTTCTTATACTTGATGATGTGGAAAATTTGATAATAGCCGAAGATTTAAGTAGAGTGTGTGATTGGTTTGGGGAAGGAAGTAGAATTATTATCACATCAAGAGACATGCAAGTACTTAAGCATGCTTCTGCATTTTCAACATATCATGTTCTGGATTTGGATTTTGATGATGCCTTTCATCTCTTTAGTTTGAAAGCATTCAAGCAATATGAGCCATTTAAAGGTTACATGGGGTTATCAAAATCAGTAGTGAAATATTGTCAAGGAAACCCATTAGCCCTAATAGTGCTGGGTTGCTTTCTCTATGGCAGAGGGAAAGAAGAGTGGGAAAGTGCTTTGGACAAACTAAATCAAACTCCCCACAAGAACATCGTTGATGTTTTGAAGTTGAGTTTTGATGGACTTGATAACAAACAACAAAATCTTTTTCTTTACTTGGCATTCTTAATCAATGCAAGAGTTTATAAGTCTTTTGATCTAATAAGACAATTATACGGCTCTTCTGTGCATATTGAGATGAGTGTTCTTAGAGAGAGATCGCTCATTTCGGTTTCTCAAAAGGAAAAGATTGGGATGCACGATCTTGTGTTGCAAATGGGCTTTGAAATTGCTAGACAGCAGTTATTCTCTAGTCCTAAGACCCCTGTTCGACTATGGAGGCATGATGTTTTTTATTGTTTCATCTTTTTTTCTCCTTTGTCATTTTAATTGTTAGATTCCTAGATATTTGTTTGACTACATGTGTTTTACCTGTTAAAATCTTTGGTGGTAAATGTCAACATTCATCTCGAGTTACCTCTGTTTTATTTTCACTAATTAGATTATTCCTATAAGAAAATCTTTCTTGATTTAAATGACTAAAGTTGCATTGGTGTGCAACTTAGTCATCCACCTAAACATTGAATATAAATTAGAAATATCGTGACGTGTTATTTTAACAGATAAAATTATTGTGCAAAGATTTTTCATGAAGTGATGAATGAAATGATTCACAAGATTGATTTTTCTCTTACTAATTGGTATAGTGTAAGTGTGTATATCCATACGCATGCTAGCACATGCTATTACCAAAGTATATGAAGGTTTGTAAACTAACAGAGGACATATATTAGAGCGAGGCTATAAAGTAGTCTAGATTGTTCCATGCTTCATATCTTTTGCTTTTAGTACTGATTTTTTAGCGCATGAGATTAATTCGTAGGGCTACTTGTTTTTCAATGTCTTGTATTAACTGGTCTTGTCAGTCGTCTTTACATTTATATTAAATATCTGCTGGTATACGTATGAGTGTGTCTGTATGTTTATGATTTTTGAGAAGTCCATTTATTATCAGGCAAACATAGAATTTGTAAGAATTCTCAAATAAAACGCACAATATAATTATTAATTCGGATGTTTCTAAAAGCAGATCTATTTAATTGTTCTGCAGTATTTTTATCATTTTTTCAGGTAATGATAATTGCATTGTTTCCCTTTTTGGCTATTGCTAGGAGATTGAGGCAATTCGATGCATGTCATTGGACGCGAGCAAGATAAAAAGGATTGCATTGAGAGCTAGTAATTTCCAAAAGATGTATAATTTAATATTTCTGAAAGTTTACAAGTCTGATCGGGAAAAGCCTTCAAGGTTGAATATTTGTGGAGATTTGGATTATCTTTCAGAAGAGATAAGGTTTTTCAGTTGGGAAGAATATCCACTACCATATGTCCCACTACAATTTTGTGCCGAGAATCTTATTACACTTGAAATGCCTTAATGTCCAACAACTTTGTGATGGAAATAAGGTACGTATCATATTTTACATGTCACAATTTTTTTTTTCCATGAGGATGAGGTGATTCTAAGATCTCACCTCAAAGATCGACGAAGTCATTGACAATGCAGATGTTTGCTTCTTGACCTTTAAATTGACGGTTAAATAGTAGTTGAACTTTTCTTCCGGGAGTCCATTTCATCTTGTAGTTGGCATGTGAGAAATTCTTGATTCAATTATATGTACATGTAGTTATTTATTTGACACAGTTTCTTTTTTTTCTTCCAGCATTTTCCAAATCTAAAGGAAATCTTTCTATCACATTCGAAGGACCTCAGTGCACTCCCAGATCTCTCTCATATCCCTAACATAGAATTTATGTCTCTTCTTGGTTGTGTGAATTTGGCTCAAGTTCATTCTTCAACGATCCCAGAAAAGAATGTACAATTATGTATAGATGACAGTGGGCCAACGCAGATAAATATTGGGGGAACTATTAAAGGGACAAGCTCCGGATTAGTGTTTGGGTACAATTATTTGGATATTCGCAAGTTGTCATTTAATAAAGTGACGATGAAACTCTTCGTACAGGGCAAGATCCTATCTGGTGTTAGATTTAAACATGTGGTAGTGCCATTGGCAAAGATAGCAGAATTGAGATTGGGAACACAAAGTTTGGCATCCTTACTTCCGTTTATTAGGAAACTTCATTGGTTAGAGAATCCATTGGAGTTTGGGGATGATTTCAAGCGACACTATACCTATGATCCTCATCATGCTTACTATCAACGTCGGGGCCCTGACTTTAGTCTTAATATGAAGGTGAGGGGTGATAGAGGAGAAAGGGCTGTGGTGGAGCCATTGATAAGAAGACAAATGATTACTGATAATGAAGAGTGGACGCCATTAACAGAACTTGAAGAAGAAAAAAGGCACGGTGAGAGGACAACATTATTAATGGAAGATGAAGAAGAGGAGGAGGATGAGTTAATGGAAGAAAAGAGTGCAATATTGTTAACCAGACTTCCCAACAGTATCACTTTTTGGTCATTATTGACACATCTGACATTGAACAAGGCTGATATTATTGGGAATGCAGGTTGCAGCATTGCTCAATTTTCAATCTTGAAATCACTTTCACTTTCTAATGATTATTGCAGAAGGATTCAGCCTCACTTGGATGTAAAGCTCTCTTTCGACATTCCACCATCGGCTTTACATGATTTTGCTTTCTATATCCGTTATAACTTGGACGTGAAGCGACAACGTTCCTACATTGGTACTCTTTGGTTCAACTATTATGTTGATAATTATAGGCCTTTTTATCCTTATTATGACTTAGTCGTCGAGTATGAAGACTGGTCCTGATCTCAATTAGTCTCTTTTTTTTGGGTGAATAGATTAACATAACGTTTGATGAAATATTAATTTTGCCTTTTTTTATATGTAGTTTATGGAGGGCCACCTCACAACTTTATAAACTGTAAATTATTGATCTTCTTGTGGCTTTACGAGATCTGCTCTATTGTGCCTTTTACTCTCCATGTTTGTATGATTTCTCTACTAAAAAAAAAAAAAAAGAAACAACTTTTCTTACTAAGCAGTTTCATTGAAAAGTAACATGATTATTTATTAATTACTTTCTGTATCTTTTTATGAGAGATAAATAATTGAATTATGTTGTTAAAAAATTACTTAAAATTAGTTAGTGTTAAAAATATAAGATTTTTCTAAAAATATCACTATTTTATGAAGAGAGTGGGTTAAAAAAACAGAGACAATTTACCATCTAAACAATTAATAATAAATGCGGCAGATGGAGATGAGAACTTGATCCTTTGTATCTTAACAACTTGTTTGAAGAATCCAGATATAATATCTTATAAAATATCACTTCTACACCCTTATAAATAAAAAAATGGGTGGTCCAGATGCAATATCTCATAAAAAATTAGTATAATATTATTAAAATATAAAGGAATCAATGTAAACTATTTTTTGCCAACAAATCAATTTAAAATATTAAAATTTAATCCGGACAATCTATACATATAGTGCAAAAATTTAATTTATAAAATATTTAAATAATAATTTTGTATACATTTAAGTTATTTATGCTTTGATTTAAGAGTGGAAAAGGGATTTTTGAAAAAAAAATTGTGAGATGATCCAAATCCGGAGGGAATGCGCGTTCATGGTTCATACTGTGATCATACATTTTGTTGCGCTTGTATGGCAGCCCATCTTTACTCTATGTCGTCTTTAGACAATTTTTTTTTTTTCAGGCACGATTATTCTTTTAATGAAGTAAACGACTGATTTATTTATTTTATTATATTAAAAAAATAAAGAGCTTCTTTCTTTCACCTGAATCACTCCCCATTTCTTTGTTTTGCGTAAAATTCTGATAGTTTTCTTCTTGTAATGTTGAGTCTCTATCTTACTGTTATCTACTTTCACTTGTAAATAATGAAACATGAACGCGTGAGATCCCATAAACATATTTACCAAGGCTATGGATGGGCATGCAGCATGTGAAATCTGATAAAAGCACAATTTTGGAGTATTTTTAACAAGAATTGTAAAAAAAAAATTTTAGGCTGTATAAAGAATACTATATATGTCTGCCATAATAGCAGAAGTCCCTCTCTGTACGGGTAAGTCCCTATAATTCAGGCTGGTCCCAAAAAAAAAAAAAGTCCCTATAATTCGGGCGGGAAAAAAGATAATTCAACTAGATTTAAAATATAAAAAAACTCTCTCTCCCTCTCACATACATCAATTTATTTAGCCAAACTTCTTTAGAAAAGAAACAAAGAAATTGAAGCACAACAGCCATTAACACATGGCCTAATACACCTTCAACACGTACTATTTTTTTTAAAAGAATGTTGTTGATGAAAAACACATCAAATAAATAAGTAAATTTGGTGACTATGTAATTTAGGGCCTGTTTGTTTTTGTTCTTTGTTTTCCTATTCTCAAAACAATTTTATAAAATTGTTTTTAAGAACAAGTTTTGGAAACAAAAAACTTAGTTTGGAAATAATTTGGAAATAATTTTTAAAAAATCACTTTTGAAAAAAATAAAAAAAATTACACTTTGACAAGTCGTAGTTATCACCTGTAGTGATAAGCAATAGATAGTAGAAGAAAAGAGAAGAAGATTTCTCCAATTTTTCAAAATAAAAAAATAAAAGACAAAATCAAAAGTGAGAAAATATATAAAAGTTGTTTTGGTTTTTCAGTTTTTAAAAACATATTATTGTTTTTTAAAACAATCAACTAAAAACAAATTGCCAAACAAGTTTTTTTTGTTTTTAAAAACAAAAAATTGTTTTCAAAACAAGAAACCAAACAAGCCCACTAGCTAAATATTTAGTCTTTCTTTCGCACTATTCCTTCCATAAAGAAGACACGTTCTTCATTTTAGCATGTCAATCTTCCATCAGGATGCTGTTGATTGTTTGAGTTCAGTAACTTGGTCCCACTAGCTAAATATTTTTGTTTGCTCTTTTTATCAAATTAATCAGCAATATTTTCATGAACATTACACCTTCAATACCACGTTGCACAATATAAACAGCAAATTAAATCAGTCCAAAATACATTACAAGTTAAACAAAAGAGGATGTTCTAACTAGTCTAATATTCCAACAACATCAGAAGCAAACATATAAACATAATATATAAAGAATGCTTGTTCAGCCAAAACCAAGACAATCATTGGCTGCTTGATCATTCTACGTACTGGGATCTCTCATATAAGTAGTAATTTGGTGGCTTATCACACAACAGACTCCTCGGTGATTAAAAGCCTATAATTTGCCTTTAAGTCTCTCTGTCTATTTCATTTCATGTGATTTTAATGCTAAAACAAGACAATACACTTTACAGCTGGGGTTCTATGCATATAATTAAGTTAAATTATTAGAATGTACATACAAGTACAAACTAGAAGACTAATACTCCCATCTCATCCACATTATAATAAATTTAATTATATAATAAACCTTTTGAAGATGTATGAAAACGTTAAAAACAAGCTATAATAAGGAAATGACATGCGAGGGAGTACATTTCAACGGTGGGCAATGCTATGTGTTTAATTATATATCAATTTTTATATTGTTAGAATAAATTCTAGGAAAAATTACAAATAAAGACCACCTAATATGTGAAATTATGACCTGAGACTCTCAATTTGAAAAATAGCGAATAAAGACCCGATTCCATATTGTAAATATCAAATCTTGATGAAATATCTGAAATGTCCCTCAGTCAAATTGTGATTTGGTCTATTGAAATTGTCATTCGTCAAAATGAACTTGTCATTTTTCATAGTCAACTTGTCATTTGGCATACTCTCAGACAAGTTGTGATTTGATTTACTGAAGTTGTCATTCGTTAAAGTGAACTTGTCATTTTTCATCGTTAACTTATAATTTGGCTAAAAGACATTTTAGATATTTTACCCACATTTTATATTTACAATTTGGGACTAGTTCCTCTGAAGCTATTTTTCAAATTGAGAGTCCCAAATCACAATTTCACTTATTAGGAGTCTGTATTTGTAATTTTTCTTAAATTCTATCAGTGGGACAAAAATAATTACAAATGAAATTCAAACAAGAACTTAGCTTTAAGAGGCATTTAGAAAATCCAAGAATCAATTAAAAAATTCTTCTACCTTTTACTAAATAAATTTCTGCTCACATAATTATCTTATACTGCATAAAATTACATTAAAAAATTAATCCAAACATACTTTTAAGTTGTTCTCTAATTTTAAGGAAGCAATTAAAAACATTCAAATATTATAGACTATATTATTATTATGGGCCACGGCCTTAGTAATCGCCTAAAATCGACTTGGGTTGGGTATTACAAGAAAACAAAACAAAGAAAGAAAAATCTAAATAAGCAAATTTTTTTTTTTAATGATACATGGATACCTAGAGCGTAGCTTGACCCCGATCGTAATACAGAGATCAGTGGGGCACCAAGCGTAATTTTTGCCAAAAGCAAAAGGTCGGTACATGAAGCAACACGGCAATACATAGCAAGGGACTTCTGACTTCAATGGCGTGCGTGATGCGGGAAATATGAAGGAGGGTACGGAGTTTCCAAAAGTAAAATCCATTTTCATCAAAAAACTTATTTCTTCAATTCTTTTATGCTTAAATATTCTTCATTTTTCTATTTACCTATGAAATACCCATCTTTTTTCTCTAGCAGATAACAAGTTTAGTAAGACAAATAACAGAATTTCTATGTTTTTGTTACTACATTTCTGTCACCATATTTTTGATTAAGTGGATAACATTAAATAGCTCTACATTATTACAATATAGAGCTGAGTAACATAAAATGTTAATATTCCTTTGCACAGTATAAAAATACCATCATTATCAGATTGTCATGTGTTTCTATCACTACATTGCCGTTATAATAGTTAAAAGTTTGCATTAACAACATTAGCGAAATTTGAACAATGGTGACTCTTACACTCCCTCCAATATATTTAACTCCTCCTTCATCATTTGCTTCAAAATCTCTACTAACATGGACGTAATAGAACAAATTATGTGTTTTTGTCACTGTATTTCTGTCACCACAAGATGATTGTTTTTGAGAGGGAGGAGAATAGAAGGAAGAAGAGAGGGAGAGGACTAAGAGAGAGAGAGAAGAGAATTAAAGAGAGGATGGAGTGATGGAAGGAAAAAAAAAGGAAGGGCATTTTAGCTATTTGGGTTTCATTTCATAATTACAATTTAAGACCTGGTCTCTCCAAGCAATTAAACTTATTCAGGTGTGTATTTCATCATTTTACTAATTCAAGGGTCTTTTTTTTAAAACCATTTTTTCATTTTTATATTGTCAGAATAAATTCTATTGTTGGGACAAAAATAATTACAAATGAAATTCAAACAAGAACCTAGCTTTAAGAAGTGTTTAGAAAATCCAAGAATCAATTAAAATTTTTTTAAAGGTTTTACTAAATAAATTTTTTCTCACATAATTATCTTATACTGCATAAAATTACATCAAAAAAATTAATCCAAACATACTTTTAAGTCGTTCTCTAATTTTAAGGAAGCAATTAAAAACATTCAAATATTATAGATCATATTATTATCATGGGCCACGACCTTAGTAATGGCCTAAAATCGACTTGGGTTGGGTATTAAAAGAAAACAAGATAAACAAAGAAAGAAAAATCTAAACAAGCAATTTTGTTTTTGTTTTTTTTTTATACATGGATATTTTAGAGCGTAGTTTTACTCGAATACAGAGATAAGTGGGCCATCAAGTGTAATTTTTGCGAAAAGCAAAAGGGTGGTGCATAAAACAACACGGCAATGCAC